GTCTCGCCAGTGGCCACTGCCACCTAAGACAGTAACTGAGAGTGCTGCATACAATAAATCCTTCCCACAAGTGTTTTCGGCTTTTAGCTACAAATTGTGATTTTGGCCTGATGATTGTAGTGCTCTAAGCAAAACCAATAATTAAACGCTACAAATTACAATCCCAAAGAGGACTCTGAGTTTTCACAATTGGCTCAACTAAAAAATTTGGTCATTCTGTTCTTTACGAAAATATCTTCCTACTTTAGAACCAGTCTACCTAGAACGACTTTTCAATGGTCTAAGGTGGGTTTTCATTTTAACAGTCACATTCAACTTCACCTGGCTGAAATACCCCTATTTACTTTGACAGGCTTCCATATTCAACCAGACAGTCCGATTCCTTAACGTCAGTTCGAATGTCTGCGTACCGGAAAAGGCTGTCGACAGACCTCTAAATGCTATCGTGGTGATCAAGTCCGCCGTCTACAATTTTGCGGATCGTGAGCGTTTACGTAGAGCCTATGCAAACGAAACCGAGCGTGAACCGGCCTTCCGCATGGCCATGGTCTTCTCTCTAGGGCTGCCTCGAAGCAGCGGTGGTCGCTTCTTCCAACGCGATGGTATCAACATCTCTCTCCCAGGCCGGGAGGGCGCATCACTGGAGAAGATGAAGTCCCAGAGGCTGAAAGTCCTGAGAAAGCTGGCAGAAGAAGCCCAATGCCATGGTGACCTCGTGGTGGGTGACTATGAGGACACCTACTATAACCTCAGCCTGAAATTATTCCACACTTTCCAGTGGGCCTCTGGCTTCTGTCGTGGGCATGTGACGCATCAGCCGCAACGACCTCCCGTCTTCGTCCTCATGGACGATGACTATGCCTTCAGTATCAGTCGTCTGAAGGCTGAACTGGGTGCCCTCTTGGACGCGCAGATTCGACGAGTGGCTCTGGGCTACCTAATGAATGGAAGTAAGGTACTTCGCCCGCTGGCCTCTCGAGGTTTTGAACAGTGGACCGTCTCCAAACGTCAGGTGCCCTGGCCCTACTACACGCCTTACTCTTCCGGTGCCTTCCTAGTCCTCGGCGCTAATGTCCTCCAGGAAATTGCCCTAACCGTGTACTTCACCGTGCAGTTTTCAGTGGACGATGCCTGGCTAAGCATGGTCATGTCGAAGTTAGACCTCTATGCCCAGCGTCGTCCACACATGTATATGTGACAGCCTAAAGTAGGTGAGAAGGAATTGGTTCTGTTTGCGCCCTTCGACTACCTCTTTGGCGGAAAGTGATTGCAAATAAAATTCTGCAGTTAATTACATTTTTGAGACTGCGTCTGTTTAACTAACCCTATTGCAGAGCAAATATATTTTATTTTTAGTAAAGAAAACTGCATTTTACTTCATTTAATTCAAAGAAAATTGGCATTATTTTGGCAGGTAGGCGTAGACTGATCAGTTAGAGGACACATTAGTTCGTCCACGGTGCCTTTGAAGCTAACACTGGAGCCTATTTTAGTTGACCCAATTGTGAAAAAACGCAAGCCAACGCTCTCCCTACTTGGGTCAACTAAATTAACCAAATCTGACAAACCAACTTAATAATTAATTCAGCCTAGTAGTCATTCTGGTGGATTCCAGATGATTGCTTAGGAAATCCTGCTTGGGCAGTCACCTTGCCCCGTATTGGTGGATTTCATATGAGCGGCAAAGTTGGACAGGTAATATCTATCCATGTATTATTAAACTCATGGCGTGAAGCGGGTTGTCCCGCATTGGTGAATTCCATGTGAGCGGCAAAGTTGGGCGGGTAATATCGATCCAAGTGTGATTAACGGCGTAAAGCGCGAGCATTCGATAACTCAAGTAAGTAGAGCATTGGCTTGCGTAAAAGGCCTTCCTTCTATGCGGGTTCGAATGCCGCGAGTTTTTTCACAATTGGGTCAACTAAATTAACCAAATCTGCCACACCAACTTAATAACTGGAGCCTATGCCACAAGGCGGCTAATGAAATAGGCAGAAGGACATAACCAGCAAAAACTACGCACCATGGACGAACGAGTGTGTCCTCTAACTGATCGGTATACGCCTATCTGCCACTACTTAACCCCGATCAGAAACCGACAAGACAGCGAACCCGGGACACAGGGGTTAGAGCATTAGACTTCTAACTAACAAGGTTGCGGGTTCAAAACTCGAGCGGGACACCAATTTCTGGGACAACACTTGAGTTGGATATAACTAGCTGACGACGGCTAATAAGCCAGAAACTGCCATCCTAGTCTCCACTGTCTTTGTTGGTAATATTCTTCTGCCCCTGTCATCAGCCGTCTTGCGGCATGGCTCGAGATAGAGAGCCCCAAAGGCACCTGGGACTGACCAGTGTGCGCCTATCTGCCTATAACTATATAATTAAACAAAATAAACTCTGACAGAAAAGATTCTTTGGGAAACAGGAACAAACTTAATTGTAAATTTTTGACGCTGGCACACCAGGTCTTCGTCGGACTTGAGGGAAATATGTAAAGAATGTTGCACATTTTTTAGCATGCCGAACAATCGATAATGGTTCGTCATCCGTTGTCAGTAGTAGGCTCTGGTAGTTTGCGCTTTTCCGCGGCCTTTTTGAGATTGATGCACATTGAATCCAAATCAACATGCCTATTGATGCGAGATTCGTTAGAGTAAATGGCTTTTAAAAATTCGCGGCCTTTCTTATATGGGAAGGAACCTACTATGTGTGTTTAGTCCATGCAAACCTGTGCTTAGTTTCATGCGAATGCATTGCGAATTCGGACAGGTGGTCGCGCCTCTTTACCACTAATTGATGTTCATGCGTGCGTGCAGAGGCGGACCCTCCACTTTGTCCACAATAAATTGCATCGCGGTCACCGCAATTACTATAAAGTTCGTTCCTCTTTCCTAAAGAATCTTTTCTCTCAAATTATATTGTTTGGGATGCCTATTTTCAAATTCATACGAATGAAAATTAATTCTAAGTACGCACCGAAAATTACTAGAAGAATTGCACACTGCCTAAGTTAGCCTTATTTAACAAGTGCAGCGGTTGCCGGAAATGCCCGAAATTCAATCAAAATGGCAAACCAACCTTGCTTTCGGGATTTGCAGCGAAATGTCTCTGCGAAAATTGCATGTTTTGTAAAAGAAAAGCGAACTATTGGATTAGGCTCTTGGCAGCAGTGCCAGATAACCTAATTAACCAGGAAGAAATACGCCTGTGCATTTCGAATGCGATTTTAGGTTAGTGTAATTGATAAATTTTCTGCGTTTGCGAGGGGATGATGCCAGAGTCAGAAGCCTAGGCCAATGCCACAAAGCTGTTAATGCAAATGAATCTAATATGACGCGTGCATCATCTAATGGGGGTATGCTGCAAGGCAAAAAATGCGGCAACTTTCCACCTTTCTAATCTAAAACACGTTTCAGAATTTTGATTAAACTTTCATGAGCTCGGTCATTGAGTGTTCAAACTAATCTAGGGGACACGTTATTGGCTCGCTGTCGGGTCAATAAACATCGACAAAACTAATTTGTAGGGCCCCTCTAGATAACGTATTTTGTGGCTAGTGAGCTTAAATTAAATGTATAAGTGTGGCGGAAGTGATCAAAATATATTAAATTTAAAAAGCGTGGAAGCCCGGCTTCGCCTTGGGCTTCCTTACATGCTTTTGTCCCTTTATGTAGGCAAACCGTATATGTGAACCTCTTAAAATGATTATGAAGAAGAAGGTGATTAGGTCGGAATTTCTGAGATCGTTTTGACTCAATGAATAGTATGTGTATGCTCAGAAGGAGTAATTGCGCAGAAAGTAGCGACTCAAAATCGTATGAACGGTGTGTTTCATAAATCCTTTGCAGTCTATCGTCTCTCCTCCTCAAGACAATATCCCTGTTGTCATGCTGCGTATCTGACATGACGACGGCCACCTCGTTGCATGTGAGAGCATTAAATCTCCGTTGCTGTTCGCCGCGTGGGCGTTTATCGGCATCTATGACAACGGCGAAACCAAGGGAAGCATGCATCT